TACCCTCTCAACATATCAGAAGGAAATAAACCCATCTATATAACAGAAAGAAAAGTTACATTTAATGCTGCTGAAAGGTGTACTTATGCTAGTTTTCACCTCCAGCCTACCTCATCTGGCACCACCAATCACCACTGCATGACACTGCCTCCTAGAACAAACCCTGACTTTGTTCTCTGAAAGCTTTGATTGGTAAAAGCATAATCCATGGAGAAGTGTGCAAAGTGCTCCTGTGGGAGAGTCATGTCGTGCTGTGTTTCTAGTGATGCTGACAGAGTTTCCTTACAGATAATGAGAAATGTGTCACAGAGGCTATTGGTTGACTGAAAACCTTTTTACTTGACAGCAAAGAGTATCTGGGCTTTGAGGTGCCATTTGGCTCAGATCTGTCAAATAAAAATATAGTCAGTGAGCGTGTCTCTATCCCCTTCCACTACAAGAAGTGGAAAGCAGCTTCCACAGAGGTCTCATCCTTTCCTGCACCCCATGAAAGATTAGGATTGTCAAATTGAACAGAAGACTCATAAACTAGCAAAGAATACACTTAATTGGGAAGATTTATAGGCTTGTTAACTGGAACGTTTCTTAATTTAAAATGTCAATGTATTCCCTGAAGGAAGACATTACTTCTTGTTGAAGCCTTAATTGGAAGGGGCTAATTTTCAGTGCTGGGACTACTACTACTACTACTAAAAATCCCCTTCAATCTCAAGCAGAAAGAGAGCTATTTAAATTTCACAAGCTGTAAAAGTGTCAGTAACACTGTTTTTAGCTTTCTCTCTTGAGGCCACAGAGGAGGCTAAAAGGTGAACAGCAGCACTGGGCAGTAGTGAGAGGGTGTTTTCTTCAAATGTTTTTGCCTAGAGGTGACTTGGAAATGTCGTAACTTTTTTTTCCCTTCAATTACACTGTGATACTAATGGTCTCATACTGAAATTGCTTCAAATAGGTATGTCTTGATAGGATGCAGTTCTAATGCTTACAGGCTGGGTAAAGTCGAGACATCTTTCTGGAAATGTAATTGTGTATTTGTATGAAGAATAATGACTAGGATTATTTTTTTTTAAATGTTTTCAAATATCACCAGAGGTCAATGTCTGCAACTGGGTCACGTCAATGGAAGTGCTTTTAATGCCCTGTATCTCTTTGGATGGTATAATGGACTGCTGTTCCATATTTTTTCCAATAAGCTCTCTTAATACTATATTTTCTAACTTATTTTAGGCCCTTGTTCCTATCTTCTGTATTAGGAAAGAGCTATATTTCTCATTATGCAGAGATTTGCAACTGCAGAGATGATGTAAAAAACATCTAAAGTTCTTCTGTTGCTTTGGACTGGGACAGCACATAGGAAGCAGCCAACCAGCCAGCCAACAGTGATGGTGTATAGAACAGCCCTTTGGATAGAAAGCATGAGGCTACGCTGTGCTACTTCAGTCTGACTGGTGGGACTGTTGCTGGTGCAGAGCTTCCTGGTGAACATGCTGAGGTGCTGCAGGCTGTGGCCACCAGTGGAGATTGAAAGAACTCTCCACAATTCCCAATATCAGGAGAATGGGAATCTGGAAACCATCCTTCCTATTGGGTTCACACTGGCTCGAATGAGAAGTGAGCGCATGGGAACCTCATGGGGTTCAACAAGGCCAAGTGCAAAGTGCTGGACCTGGGTCAAGGCACTCCTCAGTATCAGTACAGTCTGAAGACCAGCGCTGTGGAGAGGGACTTGGGGTTACTGGCAGATGAAGAGCTAGACATGAACCATCAATGTGCTCTCGCAGCCCAGAAAGCCAACCATATCCTGGACTGCACCAAAAGAAGTGTATACAGCAGGTCTAGGGTGGTGATTCTGCCCCTCTACTCCATTCTGGTGAGATCCGACCTTGAGTCCTTATCACAGGAAAGACATATTAGAGTGGGTCCAGAGGAGGGCTATGAAGATGATCAGGGGGATGGGAATCAGGGCAATGGAACAAATCTCCTATAAGGAAAGGCTGAGAGAATTGAGGTTGTTCAGCATTGAGAAAAGAAGGCTCCAGGGAGACATTCTTTTGGTTTTCAATAATTAAAGTGGTCTTATAAGAAAGATGGGAACAAACATTTTAGTAGGGCCTGTAGCAATAGGACAAGATGTAATTGTTGTAAACTACAAGAGAGTAGAATTGGACTGGTTATAAGGAAGAAATGTATTTTACACTGAGGGTGGTGAAACACTGGAACAGGTTGCCCAGAGAGGTGGTAGATGGGCTCTGGGCAACCCAATCTAACAGAAAAAGATCCCTACTCATTTCAGGGGGGTTGTACTAGGTTACTTTTAAGGGTTCCCTCTAACCCAATCCATTCTATGATTCTTCCTTTGTGATTCTGTTAGGAAAAGGTTCTTCACTGAGGTGCTGGTTGGTCACTAGTACAGGCCTCTCAGGGAAGTGGTCATGGCACCAAGCCTGTCAGAATTCAAGGAGTGATAATTCTCTTGCCTACATGGTTTAGTTTTAGGTAGTCCTGCAAGGAACAGGGAGTTGGACTCTCATCCTTACAGGTCCCTTCACACTCAAGAGATTCTATGACTGTGCTCATGTGCAGTGTGTGCTTCCCTCTGTCTTTCAAATTTTTGGGGGATTGGTGTGTGTGGTTTTTTTGTTTTTATGTTGCTTTTATGTTGTTGTTTTGGATGTGCCTTATGACCTCTGTCACTGAATTGCCTCAGTGAATGGCTTTCCCATAAGAAGGAGCAGACATAGGATATTGTTTCTCTTTCCTTTCTCTAGAAACAAATTCTTGTTAATTGACTAGGACTTCCTACTATCTCAGATGGGCACTAGTTTCTGTGTTTACTTCTTTGTAACGCTAATTAAGCAATAAGACACAACTTTAGAGATCTCTCTGTGCATGAGAATGTAAGGTGGCAAAAGATGTTCAGTAAAGTATCATAAGTCTAAAGATTCACTTTCTGGACCTTCCTATAACTGGAAGTGCCAGATAGGGTTAAATGTACTCCAGTCCTGCCAGCAGCTGCTGCCTGCCCAAGCTGAGGGGCACAGGGGAGCTGTGGCAGGCAGGGATCACCAGGGATGCAAAGGAGGATCTTGAATGGGAACAAGGCAGAGAGTGATAGTGTGAGATTTCCATGGCAACAAGGTGTCTGACTATGGGTCATCTGTGACTCCAGAGCAGAAATAACTCCTTGAGCATTCTGTAAATAAATACATGCCTGGAGCTCGATCCTTCACTTATTCAGACTTGTGTGGTTGCTTTTGATACATGACTCATGCTGTGAACATGTAGCTTGTGGAGAAAGAAAAAATAATTTGCAGTTCCCTGGTGGTTTTTTATGTTTTTAGAAAATCTGTCTCTTTTTAATGAACATTGCCTTTTTTTTTTTACTATATAAACCATCTTGTCCGGGAGCTGCTCTGTGCTGATGACGCCGCTCTTGTTGCCCACACAGAAGCAGCTCTGCAGCGTTTAACATCCTGCTTTGCAGATGCTGCTGAGCTCTTTGGGCTGGAAGTCAGCTTAAAGAAGACAGAAGTTCTCTATCAACCAACACCTCAGGAAGTCTTCCTTCATCCCCATATCACCATTGGCCAATCAGAGCTCAAATCAGTCCAGCAGTTTAATTACCTAGGCAGCTTCATCTCCTCGGATGGTAGGACTGACGGAGAGATAGACAACAGGTTAGGAAAGGCATACAGTGCCTTCGGTAAGCTTCATAAAAGAGTTTGGTGAAATAAACACCTGAAGAAAAACACAAAGATCAGTGTTTACAGAGCCATAGTGCTGTCTACTCTCTTATACAGATCTGAATCATGGGTCATCTACCGCCACCACCTGTGTCTCCTAGAACGCTTCCATCAACGCTGTCTCTGTACAATCCTAAACATCCACTGGTCAGATTATGTGACCGATACATCTGTTCTAGAGCAAGCAGCAGTCACAAGTATTGAGGCCATGTTGCTGAGAACACAGCTGAGCTGGGCAGGGCACGTCTCAAGGATGCAGGACCACCCCCTCCCTAAGATCTTGCTCTATGGTGAACTTGCCACCGGCTGCCGCAAGAGAGGAGCCCCGAAGAGAAGATACAAGGACTCCCTGAAACAACATCTCAGCCTTGGCCATATTGATCAACGTAACTGGTCTACTCTGGCCTCCAGTCGGGAGGCCTGGAGACACACCATCTATAACGCTGCTGATGCTTTTGAGAATGCACGCAGGATCACCCTTGAGGAGAAAAGACAACGCAGAAAGAATCGTGCCTTGCAGAATATACCACCTAAGGAGTCTTTCTGCTGTGCCTTTTGCAATCGGACATATCTCGTATTTGCCTTTTTAGCCACCAGTGTGCTTGTAACAAACATGGGTAGAGCCCTTCCCAAATCTTCGTTCGCAAAGCTCAGCCATGATGATGATGATGATGATGATGATATAAACCCAAGTTCCTGAAAATATAATTTGTCACATAGAGGTTCATTTTATGAGGTCTGCCATATCTATTATGAAAATCTTCCCTAACTTGCAGTTCATAAGAACAAAGGTGGAAGAATCTCAAATCAAATGCCTTTGATTCAAAAATTCTGTCTTCTGGTCAGCATTCCCAAAGTAAAATTCTATTTTGCACATTGTGTGATGCTTTTAAAAAAATCCTAGGCTTGACTACTTAGAATTAGAATGACTCTGTGTTTGAGCTAACTTCAGTGTTTTGAAATAAAGGTAGAAAAATTACTATGAAGTGATGCTGAAAGGTCAAACCAGCTGGAGTGCATAAAGCCATAAGTGTCTGATTAAAAACAATGTCAGAGGGAAAAAAGGAAAAAAATCCTACCTAATTCTCTTTTCTGTGCTAATACTCAGGGTAGCTTTTAACTAACTTGTGACATCATCTTTTCATGGCAAACATTTTCTAAGCTTTTTGTTGTCATAAATAGTATCCATTAGCATCATCCTTTTGGTTTCCTTAGCAACTGAGACAATCAATTCAATGACAGTTTTATCAGCACAGCAAAGCACCAGCTTCCAGAATTATGGACAGAAGTACAAAAAACAGGTAGGCTGGAATCTATTTGTCTGCAGACCAGCTTTATTTCTTTCTCTCTTCCTTTCTATTTTATGAGTTGCAAGCCTTCAATCACAAATTAAGCACAAATCTCTTCAAACAGTGTTGTGTTTGTGTATCAGTGATGCTTGATGCTGACTCTAAAGGATTCTCAGATCCACTCAGCCTGGTTGTGATTAGCTTGATATTTGAGCTTTACAGCTAGAAACCTTCTTAATTTTCATATATTGCACTGGGTGTGTATATATAACTTGCTTTTTTGAGTATTAATTAGAGTCTTGCAACGTCAAGGTCATGCCTTATTTCAGTGGGTAGGAAAAAGGGCCGTGGTTGCTGCTGCTTTCAAAGGGATCACGTGCAGTTTGTGTCTTCTGACAGTCACAGCCTGTCTGAAGAAGAAATTCAGAAAGCCAATAGGAGTGGCAAATGGCTAGTGTCCATAAATTATCCTGCAGTCTCCACTTGTGAAGGAAGGTGATATGTCTGGAAAATATATTCCTTTTAAATGTCTATTATAGTTTTTATTTTCTAGAGGAGCTTCTTTATTGTCCTGCTGAGGCTTCAGTCCAACTCTGTAAGTATGCTTCTGTCTGCAGAAAGCCTTACTTCTCTTAATTTGCACTGCATTGTCAGTACCAAAATATCACTAAGGAGGGAAGTAGTGCTATGGCAGTGAGTTATAGGAAAAGCCCTATACTATTAACAAGAAAAGGTTTTTTTTTTCTTCATCTAATTTTTCTTCATTTTTTCAAAATCTGACAACTAGATGTATTCTGAAGAAATACAGCATAAGAGATGAAAACATAGTTGTGTCATACATAACTGCTACTCCTGAAGCACAGAGAGAAGTAGTGATTTGTTGCTTCTGTTAATTTAGGTACTTAAAAAAATATTTTATTAAAAATAAAATTAATATCTTACCTCTTGAAGTAGATGCAGAAGGTTTCCTATGGAGAAACCCCTCAGTTTCCTGTGGGGACTGACTCAAGCTAACCAGAGAACATGAAAATTTATTAAACAATAAATTCATTGCATGCTTCCCTTAGTTCTGATGACCACTGCTGCTTAACTCCAACAGTTTCTGTATCAGTTCTACCAGTCTCTAAGCCCACAAGCATGAGTAAGATTTCTTACAGGTTTCTGAGTTCAGTGTTGGAAAAAATCATATTGACAAATCAGACTTGCTCACTGTCATGAGTGCTGGTAATAGTGTTCGCCCCCTGAAGTAACAGGACACTCTAGAATGAATCACAGGCTTTTTTGGGATTCTACTTTCCCCCAGATGCTTCGTGATTTAGTTGCTATAGTTGCCCTGAAGTAGCTGTGACAGAAGTTCAGACTGATGGCCACAGAGAACTTTAATATTCCAACATAACTGAGGCCATGAACTTTTTAAAAATGTAAGAATGTCTTCATACTTTTGCTAATCTAGGTGTTGGAACCTGTTCAACAGTCTTCTAGCACCATTACCTTAGTTCTAGTCAAACTCAAATATGGCACTTGCCTGTCAGGATTCATGTAAGGATGTAAACTCATTTGATCTGAGATAGAGGAGGGAAAAGGTGTGGTCTCAGGCATTTTAGAGTTGTTGCTCAACATCTCATGTGGCTGCTGACATTTGTCAACAGTTTTGGTTTGACCCTGGCATAAGATAGAAGTATTCAATGTGTCTGCAGAATTTTCTTTTCTCTCTGAATGTAACAGACCAACTAATTTGCATCTAGTTGAATGCATAAAGATCACCTCTCATGACCCTGTGTCCCTCTTGTGGCTGTGTAAGCATTTTCCCCCTGCCCTTTTTTTTTTTCCCTCTTCTTCCATGTTTTTTTACCCATTGTGGTGTTTTTGGCAGAACTCGGAATAACAGATCTCAGTGCAGACTCTTTTGTTTTGTCACTCCTTTCTATTGGTCATTACTGGGATGAGCAGCAGTTACAGGAAACTGCTTGTTATGGATTTGATGTTTGTATGTTCAATGAGCAAGTTAAGTGCAACTGTAAGCAGACTAATAGAGACCATGAATGCTTGGTTGACAAATGCAGGTGTCTCTCTACTAATTATCATGCCCAGAATTAGATTTTTGCTTTTGCAAAATCTCAGGAGGCATTTGCAAATTCAAAACTTAAAACTGTTGTTTCTCTACTCAACACCTGTACTGTTCACAGGGTTTGATGGGGGGACATGGAGGGGAATGCAGTTTTAACACGAAACAAATTGGGCTATGAACACAACCATTTTAGATATGTGGGAGCATTTGGAAATTTCTTCATGGACAAACTTCTATATACTTGAAAAAGCCCAAATGTTATTTGGCTGAGTCTCTTTGTGAACGATCTCTCAAAATTCAGGGAAACTTCCAAAACCTAATAATTATTTTGAGACAAAGTGTTTTTATCTCCACGTGCCTTAAACAAAGCGTAGTAGCCATCACTGACACTTCTGTTTTCTGCACTGTTCTTCTTCCTTGTTGACAGGAAAGTGCAGTTTACTGACAGTTGGTACAAGAATGTAATATTGGCAAAAACAATCAATGTTCATTTTCACTAGACATAGATAACATAGTGATGGTACAGTTCAATGGTTGCTCCTAACAAATATCTAGGTATGAGTTAAAATGAGTCTTGACCTTCAGTGCAATCCATACGTTCAATTAATTCTTTTTAATTGCTTATGCAAGTTTAGAGGGTGAAAGTGTGAGCAGCATAACCGTGGGTGACTCGTTCTCTATTGACCAAGTGACACGGGATTGTGTGTGTATATCTTTGTGAAAATAAAGGCTGCAGAAAGAACTCAAAACCAAATTAATTGAGCTAATATTTTTCTCATTCTGTTAAAGATGTGGTTCATGAATCAGCCATCACAATCCTCATGACTTCTGATAATTAGGACAAACCATACATAATAGGTGTTCTGTTACAGTTAGATACCTAATGACCTGGAAAAGAATTCAATGGGTCAAAATAGTAGTGAAGTTTTAAAGGACTTCTGTGGCAGGAGAGAGAGGAGATTTTCGGTCAAGGCCAGGGAAACAGCCAGGATGAGTTCAAAAGCTGAGTCAAAAGCACTTTTGGAAAACAGGAGGAAAAGTTTTACTCTCTTTGACTTTCATCATTAATGCTTGAAAATATTTTTTCTGTAGTAGGTTTGTATAATATTTAATTTCCTTACATTATAAATATTTATTATATAAACAATTACATACCACATAAAATCAGGACATATGCATTGAACTGGTGATAAATGATTTGTCTTCCTCCTTTCGGGTGATTTCCCTGCAAAGAAATAAAGTGCAATAATCTTATACCACATAAATGTCAGTGGGAATGTGTTAGGTGTGTAAGGACTACAAAAATTGAAAGAATACTTTCAGAGTGAAATCTTTACCCAGCAAATTAATCTGCAAATACAGTTACATTTGCTGTAACTAAAATGTGTGAAGGCATCATATTTGAAAAATATCCAGGGTATCAAAAGACTTAATTGAACTTTCAGAAACAGAGGAATGCTGATATTAGGTTTCATGTCTTGTTCTGCTCCACTAGCCTTAGTAAGCTACTTTGTATGGCACTACTTGTGTCAACCACTTCAGTATAGATTTGATATTAAAACAACAACACCCTAAGTGCTTTGAGCAGTCATCCTTATCATGAGAAGATCTGTTAACTATCCTGTGAAATGAACTTGTTGGAATAAAAAGCCTGGAATAGGGAATGAATTAGTTGCCTGCCATCAGCCCTCCTTTGACAGTGTGCTCAGATTGAATTCTACTCTAGCAAAGTGTTGTAGAAATATGCAGCTTGCTTGTGTAAAAGTGTTCACAGCTCCTCTCCTCTGCAAGCAACTCTGCTGGGGATGAACAGAGCAATGATCCTGCAAACATCTTTTTTCTTCTAAGGTATCTCCTATGTTCATCTCTAAAACATTTTAATTAAAAAATAAAAAAATGTAGTGAATTTAAAAATAACAAGATACAACCCCTTTTTTTTTTTTTTTTCATATCAGGAAGTCATTACCTGGCAAAAATGGGGGTGTTGCATTCCTACTGTTAAGACCTTTAAAAATGTTTTACTGCTAGATGAATGAGCTGTGCCAGGTACCAGCAGATACGTCCTGTCGTTTCTGTGCTCTCCAGGAGTGGCTATCTTGCAGTAAGAGAGCCATTTGCTGTGACATGTCTGCTTTTAGCTTTCATGGCTTCCTTTCTATTCATCCTGTGGCTGGGTAAAGATTTCCATATACCACCCTGATCTGCCTGGGGAAGGAGCAACTTGTCAGCTCCGCTGCTTCCCACCTCACTGTGGAGTGCGCTGTCTGGCATTTTTATAAACACAGAAAACAGAGCTAGGACACTCCCTTGTTCCAACTTGTCTTGCTGTCAGGCTGTCAAAGGGAGTTTTAAAATATCCTGTCAATTAATCTCATTGAAACTCCTAGTGAAGGTTCAGCTAACTCTGTCCTTGAAGCTCTGTTAGTTCATTCACTTCTGATTTGAAGATAGATTAGTAGAAGTGGCAGTGGCAAATTGCCTTCCTATCACTGTAACACAAAAGGCAAAATTGGACGAAGGCCCATATACTGCAAGCTAGATAGCCTTTTGCTGAAGAAAAAGCCAGGATACTTTAAATTAATATTTTGACCCTTAAAATCTATGTACCATATTAATAAGGTGATTTCATTGCTACCTATCCCCCATCAGCTTGGTCTGAAGTTGATTACTCGGCACCTATTTGACAAGCAGGAACTGAACAGGGAGACTTTCCGTATATAATATTGGCAAGAAAGATGAAACTGGTGAAGCATTCAGGCTGCTAATCCAATACTTACTCATTGCAAGATTCATCTGTTTTGGTTTCAGAGACCCTGGTTTCCTGTGGATAGTGTTAAATTTAGCATTCAGCTCAATTCCATTTCCATTCACCTTCAGACCCCAGTGAAATATCAATGCCTGCCTACAGGTTCATTTGACAGCATGAAACAGCAAACTGATCCATTTTCAGAGTAAGTATTTTAATTTTGGATTGCTAATAATCATAGCACAATCATGACATGGTGATGTGAAAGTGCTGGTGGTCTCAGCAAGCCACAGAACCCATCAGTGTTTCATGCGTTTACCAGAGTGCTAACCTGTAATTTCCGCACAAATTTCCTGCTCCCTTCTTAGAATAGGATTTCAAAGAAGACAGGTACTCATAGTTAGAAACAATCTTGGCAGTGATTAAGGGAGGGTGGTTAGGCAGGGAAGGCTATTTCAGTCTGAGTCTTAGACCAAAGAGGATTGTTGCAAGTCCATTATTGCTACCTTTCAGCCAGCCTGAGAATGCAATGCTCTCGCTTGGACTGTATCAGGGTTCATTCATGCTTGTGAGCAACAGGGACTTGGTTTGCAGAGTAACTTGAATGAAATGAGGCATTTTACAGCAGAGATTCGTAACAGTCCTTTCTGAAATGAATAGAATGGCTGATGACTCTCAGAGCTGCAATTGGTGAGACACAGTGTGTTTTAGCTAATGTAATGATGGGTTATGCCTTTGTTTTCTAGTACAAAATCTCATCACGCTGAAATATTTTGTCAAGAAATACTTAACAAGTATCACAAACACTGTTTAATCTCCCCAGCCTCCCGAAGAAACTTGTATTTATTATGGCTGTAGAGACTGGTAACTGAGCTGGCTGATATACATAGATGTTTTTTGGCTAACAGGAAAAAATTACTTATTGACTATTCTTCAGTAGCTTTTCCCCAGCAGAAACCAAGACTTTGACACTTTCTGTGAGTGTAATATGTATTTATAAAAGAAAGAATTGTTAGCTAGTCCTCAGCAATTGGCTTTTATAGTGTTTAATACATTCTCTAACCCCAAGCCAATATCAAAGCACTTCTCAAGAGCGTTAAATCTTTTTATGTTGCAAGCAATTGCATAAGTGCACCCTTCAAATCATGGCATCTGTTGCCATTTGTTTATATGTGCCTGTGCATCTGTGGCAACCAAGAGGCAAAGGTGTCTCCTGAGGGCTATCTGACAATGCACTGTCATGGACATGTACAAACACAGTGCCCTCGCTGTGCATTTCCTCATGGCATTAGACACAACCCCTGAGTAGGAAGAGTGAAGACACTTCTGCCCGGAAAAAATCAGTTTTGTTTTGTTTTGTTTTGTTTTGTTTTTGAGATCATGTGTACTCTTCTGTTAGTACAGAAGTACTTCTGCTAGTATTGTCTTCATAGGTAACTTTATACTACTTCTGTAAAACTTAGTAAGCTTGGTTTCTAAAGACTCCAAATTCCACTGTGCCACAAGTCTTAGTTACAGTTTACTTCCATATAATTCTTGCATGTAGCATCTCTGTTCATGCATTTGATATCATGTTTGTAGCCAGTAAAGCAAAGCAAGAAAGAATACAATGTGGTAGGTTGAATAGGGACTGCCTTGATGTATGGAGGGGCCAAACCATATCCTGTTGGAGAAAACTGTATTTCAGTGAGAACCTCTTTCTCCACCTGGAACTTGAGATTAATAGTACTGATCTCTTTTGTGAAGTACTTTAAAACCTACTAATGAAAGAAATGGGATAATACATAGGCTGCTATAAAACTTGGGAGTGAAATTATGCCTCAGATTGAAGTGTTTCTTTTACCTTACTTTCCTGACTATAAAAGTTCTGTTGAGGCATAAGCATCTTTAAAGGAATAGATATGATAGATCATTAATTGCAAAATTAAATTTCACTGTTCCAAACTTATTTTTCCATTATCTCAAGCACCTAGTAAACACACAAAATGTGTTCTTGAACAAATGAGTTCTTGGAAATTTTCACGTTGCAGCCAATGTACTTGTACTTTATTTCAGAATGGAACAGCAAATTGCATCTCCCCAGGCCAAAAAACAACAGGAAAAAACCCTTCAGTTGTTTGGGTTTTTTTCATGATGTAATACCCCTAAATATTTTTAACATTTTTATGTTGTTTCAGAATAAACAGACGCTCGATCTGTCTGTATATTTGTGGGATTTTTTTTCTTGTTGTGGGTTTTCTGCTTGTGTTTTTTTGTTTGTTTTTTTTTTTTTTTTTTTTTTTGTTGTTGTTGTTTTTGTTTTTTTGGTGTTTTTTCTAAGCATAGGTGAATTGAAGTAAAATAATTATATAGCAGTACACAGTAATTGGAGTTTTAAATACTGTGGAGTCACAAATGAGTGATATGAAAGGGAAGTCATCCTGTTTCCATCAGAAATTCTGGCTGACCTAAGCCCTTATTTTTTTAGTGATGTTAAAAATGAAGTCTGCTCTTAGTGTTATTTGTGCAAATTGTGTCTGATGAAATCATGTGCCATTGAACAGTGTTTTAGCAAGTATAGCTGCAGAGGAATGTAGTTAGATAGTTGGGAGTTGAGAATCTTTTCTACTGGAACATATTTATAATAAGCCTTTCATCAGCGCTTTTATAAAGCCTTAGCAAACAAGGTAAGTGTGACATAGAAAATCACAGCCACTTCAGATTGTTGATGATGTCAGATGTAGGAACTCTGAACAAGAGCAAACCTGAAGTGCCTGTGGATGTTTAAGAAACCAACAAATTGACCTGAAAGTGTTGCTTCTAAGTAGCATTTAAATACATTAGACTTAAATTTATTGTGTTGCAAATAAAAACATTCAAGTAGATTTTGCAGTTGCTCAGGTAGGATCTATGGTATGAAACATTCAGTTATTCAAAGGAAGACCAGAACTTGGGCGAGGAGGGTGACACTGCCTATGAGAAAGGCAGCAAAATGGAAATCTACTGTGGATATGTATTCGGGGCTAATTAAAGGTTAATTCATGTTAAGATAGATGGATGACTTGGTTTACTTTTGTATGTTAAAGCTGTACAAATGCTTACTTAGACCTTATTGCAACATTAGGGTTTTGGGTAGTGTTGCTGATCTTTTTCCTTGTCTAGGTAATTATTATGCTAAGAATAAGTCTTAATCCCTTCGCTAGGAAAATTTGATCTACAAGTTATATTTGGAAGATATGTAAATTCTGATCACCTTAATGAAACTTGTTTAGCTTAGTTCAGTCTTTCTGCATTCTACCAGGCTCCATTCTAGTACAGTATTTTGATACATAGTGGCTAAAACCCCCTACCTCTGATAAATCAGGTCCAAAAGATTGCCTCAGCTAACCACGGTCTGAAGTGAACTTTAATCACCCAATGCCTGATAAAACTTCACAGTATGCTGGAAAGTTTTTCTTTGAATTTTCATGTTATTACTTAGTAAAGTGCTCAATTCTCTTTGCTGCTAAGCACTGGTAATAGTACAAGACTTGAAGCTAAGAAATTGGTCCGATTATTTTTGGAGCATTCTGAGTCCATTATAAATAGAGGATATAAGATTGTTAGATTCATTATAGCATAATATCTTTTCCCATCAGAAGCACTGGAAAATGGGATAGTTCTGGCAGTGCACATCTTGTACTGAGGAACTGTCAGGATATAGAAAAAGATTGTTTGGGAGATGGTACCTAATTTTAAAAAATGCAATATTTTTCCCCTAGGCATTTGTAATAGTATCTTCCTGATCCAGATTCTTTTTTTTCTTAACCATTTTAGTTCCCTTTTTCCTTCTCTGCTTTGGTGTTTTCTTAATGTGCTGCTTTAGATAGAGTACGCAGTCATAAACAAGTTGCTGTTTTTAAAGTACTTTTATTATATAGGTTTCCAAAAGTGATGAAATTTTTGACACTACCCCTACCTCACAGGTCTTGCATGCCAGATTTTTTCTTTGTTTTGCTTTTGTTTGTTTGTTTTCATTTTGTATTGTTTGGAGCTTTAGGGGAGGTTGGAGAAGGGGTGGAATTTCATTAAGCACACTCTTCAGATGAGACAGGGAAAGAGAGAGAATCATACAACATTGTTCAGTAAAATGGGATCTGGATGTTCTAATGCATTTTGAATCATTAATTAGCAGTAATTTGATGAGGACTAGTTACCATAAAGAGACTTTAGGATTTTCTTATTTATCTTTTCTTTGGGAGGTATCTTTTTAAGCATATTAGCAAACACTGAATTCTAGTAGACATACCTAATTGTCCCAATTATTTGGTCCCATCCTAGCCTATGACCATCATTACATTAACAAAAGCATAATCAATTTTGATCAGTAGCTCTGTAGGACAACTTTATAAGATAACATATTCTCATGCCCATTCAGTCAATAGCACCATAAAGACAGTGGTGTAAAGATAATGGCAGCATAAAGATAGTGATAACTGTGTTGTGTGGGAGACCCTGCAGAGGTATATCTTGTCTTAAACTAGGTTTCTACATGTTTAGTTCATGATGTCATGACTCTTGGGTTAGTTGTCTGGATTTTGGTTGTCTTATTAGGTGGAACTTTCTATTCAAATGTGAACAGCTAGGTTGGGCTACAATGCTACTCTTAATAATTATTCTTAAGTTTCTGTCATGGAAACAGTTAATTATTCAAAAATGAAATTTCACTGAAGAAATTCAGATATCGTATCTTATTTACTAACCTTAATTTTCATAGCTCTAATTTTTTTTGTGTTTAAATAGTAAACAGGAAAAAATGAGAAACCAGAGTTTGAGAACCAACAATGATAGTGCAAGATCATCTTTGCTACCTTATTTTTACTCTGTTGGGAATAATCTGTTCAGTTATCAACATTAGGGTGTCTGTGACCTGTCATGAAAATAAAATTGATACTGCTGATAGGACACTGTGCTTCAGAGATAGAGACAAGCACAGCTGGGTGCTGAGCAGCTATTGGTCTGCTTTTGTGACCTGAGCTAAAAATTCTACTCCTTGCTGTGCTGTGTCCTATAGACATACTAACTTGCTCCCAGGGTACCCCTGAAGACAAGGTTTTGTGGTGCAGCAAAATTAATCCAGCATCTAACTAACTGCAATTAAAAAAAAAAGAAAAAAGGTAGTTTCTTGTTTCTCAGATTTGTTTACACCAAACTGGCTGCAGTAAACCTGCTAAATCAGAGAAAACT